GACGGTGAGGCGTTCAGGGACGGTGAGGCGTTAGGGGACGGTGAGGCATGAGGGGATGGTGAGGCGTTCAGGGACTGCTCAGATGAAATACTGCATCCAAACAGAGAAATCTGGAGTTCCTTCTGAAACAGTTTTTGTGCTTCCATCATTTTTGAAAACACTGAGTATAACGGGAACGTCCGGTAAAAAGTGTCTGTTGATGACGGACTAAACCAGTTCTGGTAACTGGGTTCTGGTTCTGATGATGGACAGTTTCTGGTCCTTCCTGTCCCCTCTGGGTTTCCTCAGCTGACCTGCTGGTTTCTGGCTCCTACGACCGGACCGTGGCGCTGTGGGATCCGTCCTCGCTCCGCCGGACTCTGGTTCTGAGGGTGACGAGAACCCGCCGCGTGTTTCCTGAGGAGACCAATATCTGCTGATTTCTGTGGATCAGCTGATGTGTGTTTATTTCCAGGGCCACTCTGATTGGGTGACGGACGTGTCTCTCAGCGCTGACAGGAAGCTGGTTGTCTCTTCTTCCAAGGTTGGCTTCCTGTTTCTTAAAGACAAACTGGATTCTTAGAAAGTATTCAGAGCGCCTGATCTTTTCGTCAGCCTGCAGTATTTTGTTTTAACCAGCAGGAGGCAGAGCTGAGAAGTGAAAGATGAGTTTGAACAATCTGAAAAGTGTGGCATGTCTTTGAATTCAGCGCTCAGTGGCGCCCCCTCTGGCTGCAGCTCTCCTAGGGTTCATGTTTCTGATCACTGGTTCTGCTGAATGGGTGTGAATACTTTAGGCCAGGGGGCCCAAAGTGGGTCCTGGAGGCCCGGCATCCTGCAAGTTTTATTCTCTCCCTGGTGGCAGTAAGAACCTTTGCAGCTTGTCAATGCTCTACCTCCTAATGAGCCATTATTTAATTCAGATGTGATAAACCAGGGAGAGAACTAAAACATCCAGGATGCCGGCCCTCGAGGACCCACTTTGGACACCCCTGCTTTAGGCTGTCCTTCGGCATTGCTGCGTGTTAACCTTTGACCTTTGACCTGTAGGACGGCAGTGTCCGGCTGTGGGACGTGCAGAACGTGGAGCAGATCCCTGAGGTGATGCAGATCAAAAGCGGAGAGGGAACAGGGGTCCAGATCCTGAAGGTGAGGACGTTTTCTGGTGACCCGGTTCTGGTTCTGCTCACCAACATGGTGGACTAGCTCTTCTGTGGTTGCCATGACGACACTCTCGCTGTCTCTGTCTGCAGTGTGAAGAGTGTGGAAGGCCGTTCCCGGTGTCCAGACTGCTGACCTCTGACCTGCTGACGCGCTGCGTCTTCTGCCGCCTCAAAGCTCCGCCCACGTTCCGCCTCCAGCCGCCGCCATCACCCTGCCCGTCTCCTCTGATTGGTGGAGAGCGCAGCGACGTCTGATGAGCTCAGAAACAGGAGCAGAGTGAGCATCCCATGTTTGCTACGTACAACATCTTCGAATGGGCCCGGGGATGTCACATGATGCGTTACCATGGTTTCGAACAACATGATGATGCTGTGTCACATGACCCATTCTATCCTTTTTCTCTGAACTTTGACCTGCTGTTCTTTTCAGGTTTAAATTTGAACATTTTTCTAATTTACATCATTTTTGTTTAGTTTGTTTCATTTTAGGTTTGGAAGTGAGAAAATAAAATGAATAAAATCTTTCAATAATATAAATACAGATTAATTACAATGACCAGGGGGCGGGGCTTCCTCTGCACCGGTCTGTGTGATTGGTCTGAAGGAAACAGGGCTGTGCTGGCTGCCCAATCAGACGCCAGCGTCTCATGAGCGGCATCACAGGAAACAGGAAATGATGACGTTCTGGTCGTCAAAGAGTCAGAGTTTTCTTCATTGTAGTGGCTTTTGCTTTGTTTTGCAGATTATTAATCTTATTTCTGTAGATCAGAGGTTCCCAAACTGTGGGGCACGCCCCCTAGGGGGGGCGCGGGAAGCCGTCTGGATGAAAAAAAAAAAAAAAACATGAACACTGTATGCGCTGGGATTTTACCTTAGAATGGCCAACTCTCTGTTATTCCTGTCAATTTGATACAGTAGAGGCTTCCACACTTCCCATATCTGTGTCCTCTGTCACTTTTATCAGCAGTTAAAACTGTTTAATCCGTTGTTAACATGTAACCTGTTTTTCCGAGCCGCCTTTAAACGCAACATGAGCGCTACGACGCTCGCGCTGGGTTTCCACCTGTGAAGCAGACCTGCTGCTGCTGGGCGGAGCTACGTAGGTTTGTGTTAGAATCACGGCAGCAAACCAGCAAAACGCAAAGAACTTTTCACAGTTTTTCCCTCCAAACTAACCGACTGAGTTGAGTAAAGCTGCTGGATGCAGGTAATGTTAGCTAAATGATGACTAGCTAACATCAATACAGAACCTTTAGCTTAACAAGTACCTTGTAGGCTACCGATGTCTATTTTCAGCTACGTACATTCATTTTGCCCCCAAAAAAGTCGATGCCCCCCGTTACAGGCGTCGTTTCAACCAGACAGCCATTTGTAATCCATAGGGGGGGGCAGAAGAAAAAGTTTGGGAACCACTGCTGTAGATTATTAATCTGCAGACTGACTGTGCTGCTTGGTTTAACTTTGTCTCTTTTGCTTTCTCTCTGATTTCCATTTGGGTTGATAAATCTACCATCTCCAGAAAAAAAATCGTTTAACATTTTGAGTCCCTTCCTTGGTTTCTTTTTATGGAACTGATAAGTGAAATATTTTGGAGTAAAGAACTGAAACCAGCAGCGACATGAACAGGAAGTAGAAACGACAGCAGCTGAGATATTCATGGGTTTTATTGAGCAGCGGCGGTGTCAGAAGGTGCTCTGCAGCAGGCAGCGGCAGCCACAGCCGGCCGGACACTCGTCCTGGCGCCGGAACCAGTCCATCATGTGTCCAGTATGGCCGCCGTGGCCGCAGCTCAGGCAGAAGTTGGAGGAACCGCGCACGGCGACATGGCACACGGCGCACTGGAAGGTCAGCCGCTTGCACACGGCGCACTGCGTCCCGCGCGCCTGGCTGCGGCAGTGGCAGCAGTACAGCCCGAACTCTGCAGGGAAACAGACCCGTCAGAACCAGAACCAGACCCAGCCGGACCGCTGAGGGAAACGTACCGATTCCTTTGTGCGGTTCTGGCGGGCCGGCCGTGAACTTGAGGACGTCGGCCCGCTTGTCGCCCAGACCCCAGCGGTACAGGATTTCACCGTAGCTCTTCTTGAAGTCGTCGAACTGCAGCGTGTTGGCCGGGTCCAGCAGCCTGGCAGGAACAGGAAGTGACATCGTCTCAACAGCAGCTCCGGCTCGAACATCTGTGACTCATCATTTTTTGTGACCGCAGGGGGCGATAGCGTGCAAGTACGTCTTAAAGACCAACAAGAACAAGTATTTAGGTAAACTGGGTACATACTGATACAGCTGGGATTGTAACCTATTACCGTCGCATCGACGGAGAAAATGAGATGTATTATTTTGTATTTGAGGCTGAACACTGTCGGACCGTCACGTCGTTAAAATATGTAAACCAACTGTGGCTGTTTAATAAACTGGTGCTCTGGTAGTTTTTAACAGTTTTTAGTGTTTCTGCTGCCGCTTTGTTACAGTCACATCTCACTTGAAATAATATTTATCCCTCAAATAGCCAAATTCACACAAGTACGGTTTCAAGACGTACTTGAACACTGTCGCCCCCTGTGGTCACAGAAAGTGATGGGTCACAGATTTTAATGCAACACCTGTTCTGCTCGGCAGGTCCAAAGGAAGACTGAAGCCTTGATTTAGAGCCGAGGAGCAAAATCACCTCTTGTTCATGTCGTGCAGCTCCCGCTCTCGCTCCCGAGGGTCCGTGTAGCTCTGGTTGCCATAGCGATATTCGTCAGGAGAAGACTCCCCCCAGGGAGCGCTATGCTCGGGGTCTCTGACTGAAACACAGACAAAAAGGGTTGGAGCTGTGGGAATTAGGGCGGCCAGCAGGGGGAGCTGTGGGGGTTAGGGCAGCCTGCGGGGGGAGCTTTAGAGGCTCACCTGTGGTCCAGGTCGCTGCGATGGAGTCGGAGGTGCTGGAACAGGAGCCGGACGTGACGGAGCTGGAGGTGTAGCTGGGCTGAACACAAAGGAGGAACATCACTGAATCTGCTCCAGGCTCAGCAGCAGGGGGCGCTCCAACCACACGCAGACTTACGTATCGGGAGTGGAGGCGGGAGCCGTGGTGTCCGTACAGCGAGCAGCAGTCAGGGGGCGGAGCCTGAGTCCTGAACACGCTGCAGAGCATGGCCAGAGTCTGGACGTCGCTCATCTGACTGTAGTGATCCAAACTGATGGGTTGTAATAGAGAAATCTCAGCTTTTACGTTCCCCCACACCAACATATGATCACCTTCTGCAAACTCACAGCGTCTCCAGCAGGTGGCGCCCAAACGGGTGTCTGGCCCAGGGCGTCTCTGTGTCCGGGTCAGAGTCTGGACTCAGGTCCTGACTTGTGGCAGCAGACGCCAGAGCCCAAACCTGCACACCATAGACTGTGTGAAGGTTGTGGACCACCAGCAGACCACTACTGGTCAGGATGGGGACTGGAGAGGTTCAGGCGGTGTGAATGCTTCTGAGAACCTGTGAGGAGATGCAGGTATGCTCACCTTGGCCAGGTCTCTGCGTCCCACTGCGAGTGCTGCTGCTGCGTTCTTCTGACACATTTCCTGAATGTCGTTCATATTCAGACTGAGGAAGACAAACAGACATTCAGGTTGGACGGCCCGATGGCATCCGCAGGAGAGGACACAGTCCTTCATCCAGACTGTCCCACAGCAGATGCAACCACATGCCCCCATCCTCACTGCGACAGATTGTAAGGGTTCTCTGTGAGGCGGACACTTGGCTTTGTATCCAGAGGATGGAGACAGCTGGTTCCGGTCTGGGGACAGGGACAGTGTCTCTGAGAGACATGTGAGGATGCAGGGACTCACATGTAGCTCTCTCCCAGAGCCTTGTGCACAGGCAGCAGGCAGGAGATCTCCTGGATGATGACCTTCCCGGCCAGCTTGATGGGTCGGCTGCTGTACTCTGCTCCTTCCCGCTTCGTCTTGAAGCGCCGCGATTTCTGACGGAGACACGGACAGACAGGAGGACGGGGACGGCCGGCCGAGGAGACAAAACAGCAGCTGATTAAACGGCTTCAGGATCACAGCAGAGGCTGTTCACACTGAGTGTCCGGACCACCGGAACCACCGCAGGATCTCTGGATCCAGGAAGTGGGCCTAAGGTGCACGGATGGGTCTGGCAGAACCGTGTTCTCTGGACCCGATTCACCAGCAGGTCCAGGCTGCTGGTTCTGCTGATCTCAGTGTGAACATCTCGTCAGCCTCAAGAGCCAAATTACTTCATAGCAGGTGAGACACAACTCACCTGGACAGGTCAAAGGTTAGTAAGGACAGCAGGCAGGAGTTACTGAGTTAGCTTAGCTTATGTGTTCAAAACGGACCAAGAACCACCCAGTCCAGAACCCCCGGGTCGGTTCTGCTCAGCTCAGAGGGAAAGGAGTTTCCCTGGAGCCTCTGTCATTATGTTCGGGCCAGAAATAAAATTTTTTTTGGCTCTACTGGCCTTTATTTGAAAGTGGTAAGACAGGAAATCTGGTAATGAGAGGGAAGAGGCAAAGGTCACCAGGCTGGGAATCGAACCTGCCACAGCCTTATGTGGTCTGTGCTTAA